ATATTTTTATTTTAAATAAATCTCTCCTTTTTTGTCAGCACAAAATTACTTTTAATAGATTTGAAAATTTAAATTTAAATTTTGCTTAAAAAACTAAAAAAGAAAAAAAATAAAAAAATTATGAAAAGTGAAAGGAAAATAATTTAATGGAACTTATAGAAAAATTATTCTCTTATTATTATATATTATTAAGGATTTTAATAAAACGAAAAACGCAAAAGAGAGATTTTGAATGGGGGAACTACTCGTTTTATTGAAAAGAACGAAAATAAGGAAGAAATATTGTTTTTTAATAACAATAGGAAGAGCAAAGGACATTGTTTTATATACCCATCAACACAAGTTAATCTTGTCTTATAGCTCCGCATAAAGATTCATAAGTAAAATGTTTAAAAAAAATTCATTTTTGTTTTTTTATGATGGGAAAGGCGTATACGTTGACCGTCTATTTATGGCTACAACAACATGATGCTCCCAAGGTACTTATTTGCCTTTAAAAAGAATTGAAAGGAAAAACAGATTGAAGAAACACAAGGAGGGAGTACAACCATTGAAAAAAAGCTACATAGCCCATAAAGTGCTTACATCGTCGATTAGCTGATCTAATGTCGTTCCGTCCATTTGCCTGTTGTGGAATTTCCAAACGCTGCAAATAGCGTGACAAATGGCAACTTGACTATAATCTTTCTAATAAGTTCGTCTGCTTAGGATATTTTCAAAAAAGACATTGGGTGAGAGAGAGAGCGGGAGGGAGGGAGAAATAAACACAAAACAAAAAACAAAATTTTTAAAAAATGATAGTAAAATTTGTTACAAATTTTCGATGTAAATATAAAATCTCGATCAGATCTTAATCAGATACATATACTTGTGCTGATGGGTATCATAGGTTCGTTCTAAAGCGAATATAATAATATCTTACGCATTTTAATGTGAAAGATGGTTTGAAATACAGAAAAATTAATAAACAATTAAAATGTTATTTTTTTATATATGTAAAACAAAATATATGAACGAAAAGCTTTATAATAACAAAAATCATAAAAAGAAAAGCAAATTGAATTTTATAGTCAATGAAAACGAGAAATGCATAAAAAAATAAATGAATAAAACTTCAAAATACAAGAATTTGTTAATTTATTGTGAAAAGAAAACGAAGAATAAAAACAAAAAAAAAAAAAAGGAAAAAAAACGATATTACATGTAAATTTTTTTATTCATACTTAACGAATAGATTTGTATATATGCTTTAGTTAACAATAAAACCTTAATAAGAAATAATAATAAATAATAATAAATAATGATAATAGTAATAATAATAACAATAATAATAAATGATAATAAATAAATAGTGAAGAATAGTAATTTTATGATATTAGTGGGCATATATATTTACGTATACGTATATATATATAGAAAAATATTTAAAATTAAATTTAAATTGAAATGAAATATGATAACAATTTATTCATTTAAGTTAATATATATAACTCATACCACTACTATATCCTTCCCAACACCATGCGAATATATCAAAAAATGTATATCAATCCAACTGTATTTGATACGTGAAAATATGATATTAAAGATAAAATCATTTTCTTTTTCATTTATTGTTTTTGTTTTTTTTATTTTATTTTTTTTTTCTTTAACATATAATTTAAAATGTATGCATCAATAGTTTTCTTAGTTCAAATATTTAATATAAAAAATTTTATTAAATGAAATATATATGTAATCCTTATAAAAATAAATATTTTTAAAAACAAATTTTTAAGCAAAATTTAAACGAAAAAAAAAAAAACATAAAAACAAAAAAAAAATACAAATTGTTTTTTAAGATTTAAATATTTATTTAAAAAAAAAAAAACAACAAAAAAAAGAAAAGAAAATCTATTAAAATGAACACGCAAGTATATGCATACCATTCGATAAGAATATTATTACAATTAAATAAAAAAAAATTATTCAAATAAGTAAAGTAAAAATCATAAATTATTTAATGTATTTAATTTATTTAAAGTTACAAATAAATAAAATTTTATATTATAATAAATATGGTATACACAAACAAAAACATACACACAAGCGCGCACATACACACATATATATATATATATATATATATATATGCGTGTGTGGTAAAGATTTCGTAAAACATATTTAGTCTTTGAAGATCAAACTTGAGAATATATTTATTGTTATCGAAAACTAACGTGAGATATTAAACGGATTCCTTTGACTGATAAGTTTTTTTGAATTTTTCTGGCAAATTCCTTTCTTGAATCGGTAATTTGCTCTGAGGGAAAGAGAGGCCGTATATTCACATTTACCGATCGGATTTTTCCGATTTACCTTAAAATATGATAAGCTGTAACGCGCCACTCAGGTTGATATCTTGAGCTACGATTTCTAATCTCTGACGACGATTTTTCAACATTATTACTTATACTCTTCAGTGGTCGAGACATTTTCCAATTATACATCATTTCTTTTGATACCACATTCCATTCAATATATTACTAATCTCCAGGTGACAATGGGCGTACCAGAGTTAGCCAAGCACTATCAAGTTGCACTGAGTGCATGATATCTAAGCTTAAAATCGGTTGCCTATTATCAACTTTTAGAACCGTCTGCATGGTCGAATGTTAACCTCCTTGCATTTGTTGTGACGATAGCGTAAATGATCAACAGATGAAATCGTGTCTAAGCACCACAGTCACTTTTGTCTAATCCATAGCAACCGATAAGAAAAACAAAGCTGTTGTGTTTATCGACAAACGAAAAAAAAAAAAAAAAACTATTACTTAGAAGCATTTTAAGATAAAATTGAAGAATTTCACAACGGCTTTCGCGTAAGTAAGACAGCTAGCTACACGGTCAACATCGAATTCAAAGTTCCATGAACGGGAAATTTGATGCAAGATTTGAGTACCGTCATTTGTGCGATTAAGTGTTGACAAGTGCGCGCAAGTGCATAAAAGTGCCCTCACTAAAGCATCTGTCGGAGTAGGAATGAAGCGGAGCGCAACATCCTATACGTAAAATGCAGCAATTGTCAAGCAAAAAAAAAAAAAACTTGAAAGAAAGGGAATAAGAAAGAATATTTAAACAGACCAGTTTATTTTTATAATCCTGAAGGGCAACGAAGAGAGACGGAGAGAGAAAGAAAGGTGCAGAATCATCAAAAATGATCAAAAATTTAGTGTAATGGAAAAGCATGTTTACAACGCATTTGAGGTCGATAAACGTGTTTTTGTCGAAACACGATTATTCGAAACGGCTTGTCACGCAACTCCTACAATTTTCGTTCGAATTATTCGCTATAGCGAAATAACCTGCTGTAGCACACAATAAACTTTTTCAAATAATCAGCAATCATTTTATGAAAATGTTTGCAACCCTCAATAGCGAGCATCAGAGACACCACAAAGCAAATATATTCTTGGGCAGCATCAAATTCTGAAGCGATTTAAGCATATCAGTCCGTCCGTCCGTCTGTATAATGGCTGTTGCAAACATTCTCTTGGCTATCGATCGACTTTACATTTGACAGAAATGTTGGACGTTCTCGCACACAGGTTGAAGTGTGGAAAATGGGGGAGCAAATTGGTCGATGGACACGCTCACAGCACCACTTCAACTGAGAATACCTCTGCTTTTAAAAAGTAATAAAAAATTGTGTTTTCACTCATTACACTCATAAGCTACAGCGGACTAACTTGCAAGTAGTAGTTCTGTAGGCAATGGCGTAGTAAAAAAAAATCAGTCACGCCTATTTAATTTTATAGTTTCATAATTTCACTATTTTTCAAAATTAACTATATGAATTTTTGGCCAGTTGCAGTTTCAGAGTGCGTGCACCTAAGCATATGCGTCCATTCATCGGGTCCAAAGTTTTCAAAGAACATTATTGCAGCGCCCACATGAACAAACTTATTTTCCGCGTTGTTTGCTTGCTGCTCGTAAAGTAAATATTAAAAGAAAACGAAATCATTTGGCTTTAGATGCTTTTGTGCATTTTCGCAAAATTATTTAAAACATCGGTCGTCTTTATCACTGCTGCAGTGTTATCGCGATTCACGTGGAGAAGCCGAATGCATTTTCGATTGTTCTCCTTTCCTTAGATAACCTTTTATTGACAGTTTCCTTGTCTTGGGATAATAGAATCCCCATTAGGTTGTCCCGTAGAGGAAATACTGTGTCGCTTACAAAATACTATGGAAACTCGATATTAGTGTTTTGTGATAACTTTCAGCCAGCTTGGACTTTGGATTAAATGTCCCGTAAATTTCGAATGACACATAATGCCATCGCCACTTTGGAACGCGGTACGCCAATGCCAATGTCAATGGCCGTAAAAATTGTAATTCGTGTCGCACACTGCTAGCAGATGTATTGAGTACGCGTTTGAAGGAACGAAAATATTACAAGATGTTTGTCATGTTTCACAATAATCTGCGCTTATCAACATATATACGGTCTATACGACGATTTCGTTAATATATTCTCCGTCAAATTTAAAAGATGATCAAACATTTCAGAAAATTTACAAACATTTTGCTCGACGTCGATATAATACAGGCAATCGAATCCGATAACAAATAATCCATCGATATCTCGTTTTTTATATAAGGATCTTAACCGCCATCGCCCACTACCCATTTCCTTTTATCGCTCAAATGTTTCTCTATAAATCTGTTAAAGTTTGCTGACTAATTTTAAATATTATATAATTAACTAGAATGGGAACCTACCAGCCAGGAATAATTAAGATTGGCTTGTGTTTCCAAAAAAGCACTTCTTTCCTTTTCTTTTGGGCTTCACTTTCAAATGTCAGATCCTAACAAAATGTTTCCCTTTATTCATTTTGTAGGCAAACAAAACAAATGTGAAGCGAGACAAGATGTAATATAATTATGAATTTTATGTTCTCATTGAATATGAACATCTACATATATTTATGGTTTCATACACGATGCGTCCAGACTAATAACATGAGATAATTCGTTGACATAACTGAAAGAAATCCAATATTGAGCTAAATTAATGCATAATAAGTATGTTCATAGTATATATAATAAATTCAAATATGTTCAAATAAAAAGAAAATACTGACAATATAGAGATTCATGTATGGCACGAACAATTAGCGTAAGATTCCACGCATTATTAAAGCAAGGCTTAAGTATGATAATAAAATTAAAATACTAATAATAATAATAATAATGATAAAGACCAAAGTCCCAGTTGGGGTAGTAGTGGGATGGTCGCTTCCTTAGAATATGAAGATCGTCTTTTCTTGTTATTACAAGTTTGACAAGTGAAGCATACCTATAATTATGCGAATTCCGATCTGCTTAGGCAAACATTTAAATAATATCTAAGTAAGTTAAACCCGCATATCGGCACTCTTTAAATAGTATCGTATCAACTCTCCTATCTTGCCTATGTCGGGCATAAGTTAACTTTAAAGACTGCATATAATTCCCTAATTTAGATTTTGGGCACAAGCATTGATAGATCAGATCATTCATTAACCATATGTTTCTGGCATGTAACCCTTAAAAGCCGGTCTCATCTTTTTGCGCTTCTTTTGTATTCTGCAGTTTAAATAACATAAATGTAGAGACTACGAAAGCATGACATATTTATTATTTATTCTTCAGGACATCACTGATCATTTTTATTCTAACAGCAAAAGATTATGTAACGGCATAAAGGGAAAAATTCTTAAAAATTGCAAGAAAATATAAAAGAAAAGTGCACATAAAGTGGAAAATAAGCGAGGATAGGTCTACAAAAAAAAAAAAAAAAAATTAATTTTTTTTATTATTAATTTTTTTTTATTAATCTTATTGTTATTATACCCATCATCAAAGGATGGGGGTACACTAATTTTGTCATAATGTTTACAACATCCAAACGCAAGCTTTTAAGACCCTATAAAGTATGTATACATATATATATATTCTTGATCTGTGTGAAATTCTGAATCGATTAGGCCATGTCGGTCCATCTGTGGTGTGTGTTTTTGGCAATCTCCTGGTCGCAAAGACGAAGATATCGACTTCAAATTTGATAGAAAAATTGAAAGCTTTTGCACACAGGTTGATATCCAGAATGCACCAAATTGGTCAGAGCAGTGGAACATAAACTGAACGCAACTCTGTTTTTCTTTAGTAAAATTGGTGGGTTTTTGCTCATTACTCAGAAATTAAAAAACATAAAAGTCTCCAATTTTCTACATTTACTTCGCGAAACACTCTATTTCTTACATGCAAAAATGGGAAAAATCGGCCATGCCCACACAAAGTGACAAACGATTAAACTTTCTGATCATTAATGTTTATGCAAGACAGAATGTTTAAAATTATTTTGTACATTTGTCGAACGGAAATATATCATCAGCCTAGAAATGGATTAATTTTACAATAAATATACTAGGCACGACGACCTGGTCGATTAATATATATATTTTTGAACAATACCGCCGATATGGGTAACAAATAAAAAAACTTGGAGGGTAGAATGCGACTAGAATGCTCAACATGTTAATTCGACATTAATTACGACGGACGCCACCACGTGAGTTTTTCTTAAGATTCCTTTCTTTTAATGAACAAAAAGGGGAAAGATAAATTTTATTCCGTTCACTTTTTTTTTAATCATAAATTCGGAGAGCGAGCAACACCGAAGCGGAATATTCATAGCCATACAGTTTTATTGTGCATATGTGTGTATATGTATTAACAACTGCTTTATACCGACGTGAATTGAACAAGTTGAACGATGCAAAAAAGACCAGCAATAGCGGTTAATAGCCACAAATTCATTCTCTTCCATGGCAACGTTCGGCTACATGTTGCCAGAGTTGTCAAGGATACACTGTTGTAGCGCGAATGGGAAGTTCTGCCGCGCCCACCTCACCAAAAATAGCGCCTTCTATTTACCATTTGTTCAAATCAATGCAGCATGTTGTAGGAAAATGACGGAAAATATTTTGATTAACATATATCGTACCAGTGCATGCAATCACCTTACACATAATATTTATAATCACGATTGGTAATTAATTTTATAACCGTTTTAACGACTACAATGGCAGAATAGGTGATTTGTTAATTTGTTTATTATGATCGGTTGCCAGGTTTTTTCCACACGTTCCAGAAGATGCAACGTGTGTATTAAGCTAATAGAAAAATTGATTTACTGAAAAATTGACAATAGTGTGTAGAAGTGACAGTTGCGTTTTAGACCTCGGTGCGTATTAATTAATACAAGCCCATAGTTTGTGAGATCGCTTCGTTGAACTTTTTAAGATTGATTAAAAATACCAAAGTATCGAAAAAAAGAAAACACGACATCCATTGCCCATTGTTCATTTTAATTCAGCAGTGACAGAACTTTCTTTACTTATATTAATAGCCTCTGATGTCTCCCTTTATCTTAATTTAACAGTCTTTGATAACCATCCGGTGAACTTAAGCGGTGTTGTCAGCGTTCAGCCTTCCCCACATCACCCATCGTCACACAAACTGATACGACCACATTTCAATTCGTCTATCTCAAAATCTTCAAAATCTTCATCGTCGCAATTGTGACAGAAAATCAACATACACAGCATACCAGTTTGTCTTCAACTAATTTAGGCGCATTGCCTTCCGGCGGGTGTTACGATTTTTCATATAAGAAGTAATTAAAGCATACGGTAAAAATTTGTACAAGAAAAATATAGATTGTTTGTCATGTAGAAATACATTAATATTCAAAATCGATTCTACATAGTTTCACTAATTTTAAAATTATTATTATATGAAATATTTATTGCTATTTTCATTTTTTTTTTTTTTTTAAATAAATGTAATGGTGTTTTAACAACAATTTAATAATCTTTACTTCTTACGAGTTACGTACGCTTTCATATATATATTGTGGAAAATATCGCTTGCACAAGATCAGATTTGTCAAATATTTTCTAAATAGAATATTTTTATTTATTCCCGTAGACCCACGCGAATCAAATGGACGAATAAACGTAATCAAATTAATGTTACTTCCACAAGCATAGAAAAATCGTTGGGATTTTTAGAAACCTGGTTGAAATTGCAGCCATTTATTTTCTGCCCCAAAACAAAATACTTTCCCTCTGTCCTACGTACATGCACGTACATGCTTCTTGTTTTTGGAATTAACAATTTTATGGTTTTGAAAAATTTTTATGAAAATACGTTTTTTTGTTGGTCTACCGCTCGTGCTATAGACGCTGTTATTTCAGCTTTGACAAGCATTTTGGAGGCTGCTGGCACTCTTTTTAGATCAGAAACTAAAGATAATAGAAACATTCGATCTTCGTCTTGATTGTAATAATCGTTTTGTGACTCCAAACGTTGTCGTTTTTCGATATTACTTAAATATGTTAATATTTGACTTTGTACATCGGTGTCATAATTGCCAGTATTATCGTTTTCAAAGTTCGAACGTTTTCGAGAATTGCTGCTATTTTCATTATCAGGATTATTAGTTTCATTATCATCGTTACCCTCATTATAGGGCTCTAAATTTTCATCAGTGACCTTACAACTACGCGGGCTAGAACTAAGAAATTCACATTCTTCTGGAATATTCGAATCATTTTCGTCGGTTTGCTGCATTTCATTTTGATATTCAGGCGCTGAAGACGTCACTTCATTTAAATGGGTATTATCAACTTCGAAATCTATTCTCTGAGTGGCCTCCGTTATGCTAAGGTTATTATCAAAATGATTATCATCGGATGTTAAATCGATGCAGTTTTCAAATTCATTTTCATCATCATCATCTAGGAGTACATTGGGATTGGAAGTATTTTTTTGCAAGCCTAATTCTTGGGCCAATCTAAGAATATTAGAATTGTTGTATTTAGAAATGAAACTATTCAATGTTAATGCACAATGCAAACGCACCTCGTACAACTCGGCGAATTGATGAAAGGTATTAAAAATTCAAGCTGTGCCAAGAGAGTGCCCTCTTTTTTTCGCGTATAATTTTCTACACTTTTTATATTTCGTATTTTGCAAGTAACATCATCTCGAAGTTTTTTCCAACGCTGTCGGACGCACATACCTGCAAAATCTCTAAATACATTGCTGAATGGTAAGTGGTGTTGAATTTATAACTCACGTATTTGGTCTCGTAGATAATCACTACAATTTATGTAGTGTGGAAACAACTCCAGAGCAACCTTTTCCCATCCATGTTCTCTTAGTTTGATATTGGTGTATCCGTTTGCTGCTCGGTTGTACAGGATTTCATGTTTACGGACCGCATTGATTAAGTCAAGAGAGTTTACGATGTTTATATTTGCCGATGGTCTTTGGGTGGTATTATGCATTTTTCTATTTTATTTTAATCAAAAATTCTAAATGCGAGCAACAGAACAGAACAGCCAATTATTTATTCCTCTTTTTTATTTAACGATTATTTTTCCGCTTTTGCATGAAAGCGGTAACGAGTCATGTCACCATCCACGACGATGCCAGATGGGCTGTCAATGCCTTAGCAAAAGGACAATCAAGCCGCGCTTTGTTTTCAGGTTGGGGAATACAAATTAAACATATGGACAACAAAGTAAAAGAAACACAATAAACTAAAAAAATTAATAAAATAAAATAGAGGTGAATAAAATGAATTAATGTAATATAACATGAAATATAAAATTAGATGAATAATTTTTAAATTTGATAAAAGTCGTTTTTATTATTTCTTCTTTCTCTTTTTTTGCTTCATTTGTTACCATGCATACAAAACCATATGATTTGCAAATTCCATATTGTTCCACAGGAAAAATGTAAAGAAAAACATAGTTTTACAACCAGCAATGAAGAAATCAACGTAAATGTAAACAACAAACTTATAAAAAGTTTGCAAGCAAGTTTGTTTATTGATTAATGATAAAGAAGATTGATGAGATATATGCAGATATAGATACATATATTATATTAGATATATTTTTCTGCGATAATTGTTCCATAATTTGGAAACTACCACTTCTCACTCTTTAAAAAACGATTTGGTTAATATAATATATAAATATAATAATAACTTTAAAATTAGCTTGGTGAGACCAATGCTTGAATACGCCTCAGTTGTATGGTCTCTTTTCCTGAGGAATTCGAGTTAAGATCTGCTGCTCTCTCTGCTTACTCCTAAAAATATATTTTGCTTTTACTAGCCTTATTCCCGTTAAAGTAAATAAGACCATTGACTCGCCGGCGCTATTAGCCGGATTAAGCTTCAATGTTCCTAATCGTTTTTCTCGAAAGTTTATTTTCATAGAACTCAGTTAAGGTATATATAAGTAAATAGTATAAGATTTATTTTTGACAGTCAATCTAATTCGGTTGTTGGTTTATGCCATTTGAATTTCATGTATAAATAAACAAAATGGATAAATAAATAAATAAAAATATTTAGAGACCTATGCAACACTCACCAGACTGGAGTTCAAAGATAAGCTACATATTTAAGTTTACAAAATTTTTAGTTACGACGCCATCTTAAATTCTCGACCTCCTTCAGTGCTCGGGTTTTAAAAGTAGCGATATCTAATTTCGAAATGCATTAAAATGGCATTTACATATATATAAAATCTTCAAGTCTCAATCGATGACATTTAATGTAAGATTAATCCCTTTGTAGATCATTTATTAAAAATAAAGAGCATACGCGTTTTCCCTCCATATGCTTGGCATATAAGCTTCCAAAGTCTTACAACTTTTTTACTTGTTTTTAATTGGAGATAAGCGATTAGTGTGTACGCATATATACACAATCTAAAACATGTAGTGCAACGAACTCGAAGTGCTCTTCAAGTATCGTATGCAAAAAGTAGTTGTGCAACGTAAGGAATTTTTATTCATCTTAGGACGAATTCTTGATACTCATCATTTCGCACTTACACATATACATTAGGAGGTACTTTTTTGTGATCGTGACAGTGCGGCATTTTTACTTTAACTTTTTGATCATATTGAAAATATTTCTGCAGCAAATATCTCTTGTCGAGGCCGTGACTGTATGACCGTAAACTAAGGATTTATATGCCAGGGTTTAGCTTTTTGCTTCAATTTTTTGCGCGAAGAGATAAGAAGGCAAGAGTAAACCAGTTTGGGATTCTACACAAGTCAAAAATGTGTACCAGATGTTTGATGCGAAATTTTTGGTGTTGTTTCAGTAATCAAAAAAAAAAATAAAAATAAAAAAATATATGTACATATGTACATATATGAAAATAGTCTATGATTATGGGCTGATTTAATCTAAATTTACATATTACAAATTATTATGTAAATAAATTTTAGATCAGTATATATCAATATTTTTAATTTTGTACTTTCCATTTTATTGTTTCAGGTTTTGAGTAATAGTGGGCACTTTTCATTCATTTTCAATCCTGATCTGCGGTAAACGTAGCAAATTTCAATTTTCTACTAACATATGAAACTTAACACGCCTCCATAATTATAAGTAATAACTTATTTATAAAGCAATGTATGACTAAGTGTATATTTAGTAAGTTTGCGGCTTTAAAAAAAGAGACAACCACATTAACCACGACCCCACCAAATTTTTAAAATTAATTTATTTAAAAAGACAAAAGAACGTATTTTTCAACAAGATGCCTTTTCCTATTACTATACCCAAGCAAATGCCCTGTCCTCACTGGAATCATTTCCCCGTATCTAGCGAAACGGGAAGTAATTCAATTTCGAAGTCGCCAAAAGTTCCACCACCATATTGCAAACTTTGCCAGGTGGCAAACAAAACAAAGACATATTCCTGAACGCGCTAAAATTGGAAATGCATAACTTCGAGAAGATATTTTTGTTCTTTTTTTTTTTATCCGTTCACATTATCAACGAAAAATACTATGTCAGTTATTAGAATAGTTAAGGCAATGAAAGTTAAAAAATATATTTTAAAAAAATTTGAAAAAAACTTTCATTTCACATTTAATATATTAAATTCACAAATAAATTGCACAAAATCCACTATCAGAGAGCATGACCAGAGTAAGTGTTTATAATAATCCGTAATGCGTTTCGTAGACTACTCAAGATATACATTTTATTTTATTCATTGCGCGACTTCAAGTTGACTGAACAGACTCATATTTTTTTTAATTTTTTTTTTTGGGAAAAAGTGAAGTAAAAAGTGAAATCTTGACAAATATCGAACACATCATATAGCATACAAGTGATGCCAGTCAATAAAATCTGAAAATCGCTTGAGGGTCCGCGGATAAGGAATTGAAAGTATTCGTTGAACGAGGAATGGAATTTTTTAAGCAACCTCATAAATTCGCAGGCTAAGGCGGACATTAAATTGAATTTTAGAGTGTGCATGTTATTAACTAGCTGTATATGCTCTTTTGTCAAATTAGGCCTTATTAGTGCGAAGAACTCCTATCCATAAAAAAAAAAAAAAAATCTCTGACTTTTATATATATTTCTTAAATGGTAGATCTCAGAATTTCGTTGAAAGACGCATAGTCTTATTACTATTCGTTCGCCTCTTCGCGAACATATCGTATCAGTAACCCTATTAGATCAAGAATGTATTAATTATGCAGCTGCCAATGCATGAGCTTAACTAAAGGAACTTGAGAAAAGTTTAGAATTTTCTTAGAAATGTTGTGATGCTTTATTCTGTAATAAGATAAAAGAGAACATATATATGTATATATAAATATATATATATATATATATATATATATATTTTGTTTTTGAGACAATACATAACCTAGTATGGACCTTTACTAACTCTTTTTTCACTTATTGAGCAAAGAATTTTGCTTTCTAGGGCTTTCTCAATTAATATTCATCTCTAAACGGCTAGTGGTGCAAGGCTTTTTTGTTACGGGACCATTTTGAGTGTAAGCTTTATCTAACATTTCTAGCAAAGTACGTTGTTTAAATTTTGGTTTTGCAAGCGGTCCTGCGCCAGCGCGACTATTGTAATCGTTTTCATCATCTTTATCATTGCTTTTGACCCTTTCAGTTTTTGTTGCTAACTGTTCGCTTACTTTATTGGCAGCAGCTATTAATACTGCCTCAGTCTCGCTATCACTTGTTAGACTAGCACCGTTATGAAGATAAGTGTTCTGACGGTGTTCCAACTCCCTCCTCGTTGAAGTTGTAGCCGAAACATCCGGCAGGCTGTGCTAAAGTTAAGTGACAAAATACATCTTAGCATAATCCAGTTAAATTTTGTTTTTTTCATTTATACCTTTAGGCGGTTGAGTTCCGTATAAAGGTACCTGTACAGTTCTTTGGTTTCCAATTGGTGACCATAAAACTTTCTTAAAACATTCCATAGATCTTTAACAAGTACGTTATTTTCAATGAAGTATGTATGCATTTTATGTACTTGATCGCGTAACTCGATATTGCCAAATGTAAAGTATACCAATGGCCTAGAAGTAACAGTGCAGACCATCAGCTGCAGCAATGCTTTAAGAGTGGCCTCTCCTCCAAATGCACCACAGCCCCAATTGCCAGATGCTACTCCGGGAGCAGGTGTACTAAGCGAATGAAAGAAACCAACATAAGCCTTATTCAGTTCTCTTAGCATTAACTCCTCCCGATACTGATGATTGGATTCCATAAAGGCCAAAGCATCTATGGCTACAATGTGCGTCATACGTCGCCGCGAATTGTCTCGCGGTGTACAATCTTGATGATTACTATCCCAAAGAAATGAGCGGGCATAACCAGTATAGTTGCTGTATCGTTCACATCCCACCATTACTAAAGCTTCTGTTGGCCGTAAGACTTCTGTAAACAGTTTAGAAATCAAAAGCTCCGGACATATAACAAATCGTATTTCCTCTTGCACACAACCGGTGCTCAAAACACCACCGCCCAGATATTTATTAGCGAAATCGACTTGTAGTAAGCCAAAGCCTTGATCCTCAATTGTACCGTCGCTGGTGATGTGCAACGGCGTTACTCCCAAAGGTATTAAACATTCTGACCAGTTTGGCATTTCACTATGATGCATGAAGCGGCGTTCGAATGTTACGCAACCCGTTGGTACATTCGAGCGATCTTGCTCTTTAGGGCAAACCCGTCGAAAATAATGGCAGATGCATTTGATCTTTTCCATAACTCTAGCCTCCGTTGATTGAAACAGTCGATTAAAATTGATATCGGGAAATGTACTGTATTCGGACTTCTTTTTCATTGTATTACGTCGCGGAAATGTACAAAGAAAAGCATTGGCCAAGAGGCAGGAGACTTGCTCCTGGGATAGAGTTAAAGCTTGACATTTACCTTGCTTTAATAAGGGTATGGGTGCTTGGACCAGTTCCGGTAGTCGCAATGCTAACCGAATAATACGCGGTAACAATTCTTCAAAAAATGCCTCAGCTTCGGTTTCATCTAATTCTTCGCCGAAAAGTTTATGCAAAGCGCGAAACTCCCATTGGTCTTTATATTTAGTATTATAGGACAATATGGCTGTCTGCAATTCTTGGCTTGTGTTGATAGGTCGTAATAAAGCTTTTTCTATCATTTCCCAGCGATTTTCAATGCTTGACGAACCGTCATCTGCTACAACCGGATATTGACTTTTCTCTGAACAGGGTAATCGCACATGATGGGCGTCCCATTTTGGATGACCCTTTAACGGTTTAGGTGCTGCATTATCATCTTCCTTAATTGGATAATGATAAAGAACGGTGTGATTTTCTGACGGTTTTACCGGCGCCACATGATCTAATTCAAATGGACTAAGATTCCGGTAAATTTCGTCTATACTGCAACCACGCCAATTAGGTCCCCCCGCTTCACTATCTGCTTTAAATATTACGAAATTATTTTAATTTTTATATATCGTCGAAATGGTTTTACCTTCTTTATTCATATCACTTTGTGACTCCTCGCCATCACCACTCATTCTGCCGCACTTGATGGTGGCCACTGTTATCTTTCTGCAATTGAATGCAGATTCCAATAAAATTTTCTGGAATTTTAGTAAAATTTTGTTGTTTTTAATAGAAAAATAGAAAAATTGATTGATGGAATGCGAGCGACTTGTACAAAAAACACAATAGTCGCTCATTAAAAATGCCAAAACATTTGGCAACTTCGATACGTGTAGTTAACAATTATGTTAAGCAAACATTTGAAACGAACCGGTCATTTTATCTGAATGGGTGAAAAGAGGAAATTTTCCTCAGATTCATGCATTAGTTTGCATTTTGAATGGAACGTGTTATAGATATAAATTTTTATTATTATTGTTAGCCGGGAATTGTAACACACACATACACATTTGGTAAGCTATACGTAATCTTGCTGCAATGGATTGACCAAATTGCAAGGAAATATACAATGCGGTTTGTTATTTGGTTTTCTATATATTTAAAAAATAAATATCAATAATCCCATCCCGCAAATCGAGATTAGACTAGAACTAGTGGATGGAGAACGTGGGATGGATTTATTTTAACGTTCAAGCTACAAGAAAAAAAAAGAGCTTATAAAGCATGTATTGCTCCGCAAATTTCCGATAATTTTAACATTACTGAGTTAAACGAAAGTGTACTTGATTCCTATTCAAAAAAAAAAAAAAAAAAAAAAACATTTAAATAATAGAAATTAAAGAAAAGACGTAAGTTAAAAATTATTTATTTCTACATCTGTATAGATTCTTGTAGATTTTGTCAAGGTCTTTCATCCAAACCATGGCTAGGAAATGAACTAGAAGTTCCATTAGTAAGAAATTAACAACAAAGAAGCTAAGAAAATTCATAATTTATACGCGATGAAAATTAATGGAAAATTTTAAGAGAGAAATCACAAACAATACTACAAACATTAAATACATTGCGGATAATTGAACAGGACTACGCATAATTCAGTCAAAAATATAATGTTAAAGGGCTGCAATGCATGAATTGGTTTTCCAACCAGAGCAACAGACAGACATGTTAAGTTGAAAAAAATGAATGTGTTTGCATCACGCATTGCTGCAGTGACTGCATTGCTGCAGTAGGTAGTTTGCAGTAGATTGCATTGCATTATTGCAGCAAAATTATATGCTTCGAAAAACTGGCTTTTGCTTCTTTGAGCATAGGACAATTTTAGCTGTTTTTCGTATTTTGGCAATAACCAATATTATAGTAATTATAATTAATTGCAACTTCAGTTAGCAATATTTTATATAATCGCATTATCATCATATGTTGCTTGGAATACCAATTATATGATTTTGTTTTGTTTCGATGTTTTGTTTCATTGTTGCAATTATCAATACAAACTCATGCAATAAGACTACAATGTAATGCAAGCTACATATTATACGTATCCGTTTGGGTGTTGGTGCAAGTTGGTTTCTGCGTTCATCGTTTCAGACTAGTCAGCTGACTGTCATCCATCTTACTATTAATGGGGCTTTAGTTTCTTTAAACGTCATCCCATGATATCTAATCTGTGAAAAATGCAATTGACTTTGAAACACCTTGAATGATTCTTCATAATTCTTTATACATATTCATATATAAATCAATAAAAGCAAGAAGTGCTTTCTTTAAATTGTCAAAAAGTAGCGCTTGCTTGTTTTCTCACCTGTAGTTGCAGTACTTGCTATAAAAAAAAGAAAAATGAAAGTGAAGAAGATGACAACGTCATACCAATGGAATGTGAACTAAATTTGTCACAGTCGAAGTTTTATCGTCTTAATAAGCTTTAGATGATAGGTCTAGCTGAAGAAGGCCTAGATAAGTTAAAGCACAACGAGAATATTATTATTATTATTATTAATTTCGCCAGAGAAATAAATTCTAAGACTAAACTCTTAAAAGCACTAGCATCTAAGGCTATCGGCTTTTTATTAAAAACTCTACCGCACTTGAGATTCGAACCCACGACCATTGACTTGCTAGTCGAGATTCCTCCCCTTCGGCTACTCAGGCGGATAACGAAAATATTGTATCAAGGATCAAGGTAAAAATTACATTTTTACGTGATGAGGATCATTGCGATCATTGGTATCTATACCACAAATGGTGCTTACGTTTATCATGAGCACAAAAACCCACACATACACAATGTTAACGCATTGTGTCCGTTATGTCTGATAGGTATTGATAAACGGGCAATAGTAGGGCTCTTGTCGGTATGTTTCATGTTTCACTGCTCCCTTCCTTTAGTCTTTCAATTTGTGAGGTCCAGGATCGCGCACGTACCTTATTTTGCTGTCCACAAATTAACTGTGGCATGAATTAGGTGATTTATCTTCTATTATTATCGTTTAATGCAATTATTATGTGTAAGTATATCTACATAGTTATTTTGCTAAAGTATCAAAATTTACTTATAAATAAACATATATATTCATAGTTATTTCACATATTAATATATTATCCGTAGTTATGAAACGTATATTATATATAAATATACATACATTGTGTATAAGTTGCTAAACTTATCGCCATCTACCATAAGTGAGCACGACACTTTATGCACACATAAACATAGACAAGTTTAAACCATGTACTCAATCTGATTATCATTTCCACATTTTTACGGTTTAGATGAGAATTCTTTGTGTTTGCAATAACAAACATTTGTTCTTAAAATATGCAGGTAGCCCTTTGTTTTATGCAAAGAGACGAAACGGTACCTTTTTGGAGAGATGGTTGCCGAATCAATAAGAAACCAACCGTCTCTATAGGAATGGTAGATGGATGGTATCATAATGAATTGATTAATGCAAAGTGTTATCATTAATATTCAACGAGCACTCCGAGGTAATAAGAATGTACCAAAATTATTCCGCATTCACGTTTATACTAATATTTTTATCCACTCTGTTTAAAGTAGTTTCCGCTAATATGATTCCACGTTATTACTAAATTATATGTCAGGCAAATTATATGCCTGGGTGACCTAGCATAAATAGCACGGCAAAACTAGCCATAGGGGAGACGATCATCGGTCTTACAGCGATAAGGTCCATAATCCATAAAATGGACTCGCCTACCTTAGGAAAAAGTAGGAGCGAGGTTAAAGCTTTTTTTTAATCTTGCTTCGACGGTGATGCTTGTTTGGTCTTTATCCCTACACTTCGGTTGTACCTTGTGAGAAAGAGTGAGAGAAATTGGGAGAACAAAGAGAGGCGGTCTCAATACCTAGAAAAAGGCTACTGTGTGTGAAGGACAAGTAAATCGCTTATTATATTTATATCAATAAAAAGCGAGAAACAGTTAAACAAGCAGGAGTTTTAACCGGTGAAGCGACCAGCAGAAAAAAGTTGATACTCTCCCTATTAATATTTCTGATAACGTGGACTTTGGCGCGTCTAAGCTAACGCGCACAATACAAATGTAACCACAAATCCTGATCGTTATAGGCGGCTTATGTGGCTTCGATTTTCAATATCAACTTGAAGCAATTATTAAGTTTAGGTCGTGAAATGCCTCTTGAAGATGCCTGGATTTGTCTTTCACGGCGGAATTCTAATAACAATTACGGCTCCTAACCTACTTACTTATCCGGATTTCAACGGATCAGAATAATAATAGAGATGTCGGTGTTTCGTTATTGGTTCGATCAAAAAAAACGGAAATCATGATCACATATCTAACTTCTCTTCGAAAGATTGACGTTGCCAGTCGTTACAACAATAACGTTAGGCTTAAAAGTCAGCTGGTGGTAACTGGGAATACCTCCCTTAATTGTATGCCGTACTTAATACAATTTTAAATACAAAGGTAGAACGTAGCCAACACTAATATGTAAAAATGACTTAAAGCTAAGCGATTGAGATCGTGGTCGTTACACAAGATTTGGCCACCTTTTAAATTAACCCCCACTTGAAGATGGTGATTAACCCATCTCAATAATCATGCTTTCAAGATAAAAATTGCGTATTCAAATCGGAAAAGATATGCGTAAATTTTTCAAAATTCTCCACTCAAGACTGGGTGGTCTGTGTTTTCGATGGCATCGCAATTTCCTAAGTGGTTGCGAGGCCTTGAAACTATTGTTTACCCCTGCAGCCTTGTCGAATGGTCGACATGCCGACTGCCAATCCGTTACATACATGGTATTAAATGTAGCTTGACGTGTTTTAGAAGCACTTCACGAGCTGGTGTGCAAGTCCTTACGGCCACGTACAAAGAGGTCGAGCAGCGTGTAGCCATTTTGAAGGATGATCACGAATTATTCAAATTATTAGAATGATTGGCATTATTCGTGGATAAGCAAGGCAACGCGGATACACTACTAATAAAGTTTCTGAAAGTAGGATTTGCATGGAGGCACTGATCAATTCGGTTTGAATCGGCTCGAGTGTTACTAATAGTCATTTCAATGGCTGTTCGTGACTTAGACATCAATGGCTAATTAAAAACAATCTAATCATAATGTTGGTAAATAGTAAAAAGTTTTTTTACGAAATTTCAGGACATTCTAAGATAATCTTTCTTGAAATGCAGCTGCACGGGACGAGCTGGCAGCTTGGGGTTTTCTAACACAAATCTTGAGGATTTTTCAACAATGTAAAATGAATATAAATCTGACCAAGTGACTAGGGGTAAGAGACCGACGAATGGCTTTAATAGCAATATTAAGCACGTCTGTCCATCTGGTGTCTATCCATCTACATGTTTGTCTGTTATGCTCAACCTACAGGTCGCAATTTTTTGAGGTATTTTCATAAAATTTGGTAAACTGACGTATTTTGATCCAAGGACAGACATTATCGAAATTGGTTCGGAATAGTCCACTCCCCAAAGCGTCTTATTTTGAAAATTTGTTATATAGAAAAAAAGGGCAATTTTTAAAATTTCTCGACAAAAGTCGCTAAGTAATAGTAATTTGGCATTGTATGAAAACTTTGAACTGGCTGGGTCAATTTCCCAAGAATCCCTTTCCATCTAACGAAATCGGAAGCTGATGTGACTAAAAGATTTAATTTCGATCACTTTTAATATAAGCCGTTACTTTCAAAAGTCGTCATATAAATATCTAAGGTTCTTACCGTTGCGAGTCGCGGGCTCCTATAGTGTTTTTACTCGTTTCTAATTATAAATCTACGTTTTCTATCAAAATTATTTCTTATGTGAATTTTGGGACCACA